ACCACAAAAATATTTACAAAATATTTAAAATAAATCTTATAAATATTTATAAATATTTTGTAAATATTTTATAAATATTGTGTGCTGTCTGGGTTTCTATTGCGCATTGTTTATCGTACTGATTCCCATTAGCACATTTTTGCTTTTTGTTTTTAATTGTTGGGAATCTCACAATTTGGAATTTTTAATCAATGCGTTATATTATGCAGATAAAGTTACAGTTATTTTATTATTTCAGATATTTTTATAATAAATATTTAGCAATGGAGAGAGAGATGGATCTACCAGATCAGCCGTCAACAAGTGGAATCAACAGCGAAGAAAAGAAAAGAAGATCAAGACTGAAAATTTTCCAGGACTCTTGGTTACGTATTGATATTTTTAAGGATTGGTTAATGCCACATGAAAATAATGAAAAAGCTCTCTGCTCGGTTTGCAATAAAGTTCTTTTATGTGGCAAATCAGATTTGATAAAACATTCTAAAACTAAATTACATGTAAAGAATATGACAAACCGTAATGTCACACCATCTGCTTCATCACATAAGGACCATGTTAAAAAACTTAAAACAGCCGAGATACAAATAGCAGCTTTTTACGCGGAACATAATATCGCTTTCCAAATTATAGATCACATGGTCCCTTTACTAAAAAAAACTTGTTCTGATCCACAGGTAGTTAATGATCTCAAATTATCAAGAACAAAATGCGCACGAATAATAAAAAATGTTGTAAAACGTGAAACAGATAAATTAATTACAAATTTAAAAAGTCAGAAATTTTCCATTTTAATTGATGAAAGCACAAGTATCAGTAATGATAAGTTGCTTTGTATTTTAGTAAAGTATGTATCATTAGAGACTCAAAAATGTATAACTCAATTATTAGAATTAGTTCCATTAGATGCAAAAGATTGTACTGCAGAGAAATTATATTGTGCATTTGAAAAATGTTTAAAAAGTAAAGGAATACCTCTATCAAACATTATAGGAATGGCATGTGATAATGCTTCAGTCATGATAGGTGTTCGAGATTCTTTTGCAACAAGATTAAAAAAAGAGGTACCGGCCCTCGTTGTATTAAATTGTATTTGCCATTCCTCAGCTCTTATTGCGAGCAAAGCTTGTTCGAAATTGCCGGATGCATGTGAAAATGTTTTACACGCAGTTGCAACATATTTCTCAATAAGCGCAAAAAGATCAGCTATCCTGTGTGAATTCCAGAACTTTTTTGGAGTCGAATCACGTAAAATATTGAAATTATCAGGTACAAGATGGCTTGTCTTGCAGAAGTGTGTTCTAGACTTCTCGATAACTGGGAAGTTTTGCAACATTACTTCCACCTGGAAACAATTGAAAATAGAAATAACTCGGCAATAACTATCTTTAATACTTTAAATGACAATAAAATTAAAGCTTACATGTTATTTTTAAAATATACTTTGAAATCTTTTAATGAATTTAATGCTTTGTTTCAAGGAAGACAAATTTTAATACATAAATTAGCTGAAACTAGTGAGCATTTGATAAAGCAGATGGGATTCAATTTCTTGCTGCCTACAGCTTTAGAAAACATTTCTATGGACATTATTAATCCTCAAAATTTTTTACCTTCACATTCAATTTATGTTGGTCCAGAATGTGAATCTTTGTTAGAATCAGAATCTTCAGAATTTGTAATAGAACTAAAAACTACCTGCTTATCTTTTTATATAACTGCATTAGAAGGAATGATACAGCGATTGCCTTATAATAATCACATTTTTCGAGAATTAAAATTTTTAGATCCTACTATAGCTTTGCATCAAGAAAGTAGGCTCACCTTTCCGGACTTAAAAAATACAGCAAGACATTTTCAAATTTCTGATATTACGGCTTTAGCTTATGAATGGAGAATGCTACCTATTGTATTTGATGACGCGAATAAAACTCTTTTGGCTAATTTAGAAATTGATGAAATGTGGAAGACTATTTTTCAAAAAAAGAAACTCAATAATAAATCGTTTTTTCCAAATTTAGAAAATTTAGTAAATGCAGTTCTGTCACTTCCACATTCTAATGCCGAAGCAGAGAGAATATTTTCTATTGTTACAGATGTGAAGAATAAAAAGAGGAATCGAATAGATGTAGCCAGTTTAGACGCAGTATGCAAAGTACGATCGAGTTTCCAAGCTCATAACGTTGACTGTCGCACTTTCCAAGTAGATTCTACACATTTAGAACTGCACAATCATAAAAATTTATTGTCTTCTAATTCCGACACCAATCAACAACATAAAGAACAATAGAACATTTAAAAGCTTATGCATGTTTTTATTATAACTTTCGTTTGTATTGTTAATACAATTTAACTTCGTTTTTTAATATTTGATCAATATTCACATATATTAATGTAACATTTCTGGAAACCTTTTCTTTATTTCCGTGACGCATGTATTTATGATATTATTTAACATGCACTTCCTCTTTTTATTCCAATTTTAACTAATGATATTTTATTGATGTTATTTTAACGCGACAAAATTAATGCATGAATACAGTGCAATAATTCTTGGGCTTCCTTTCGCTTAGAGATCTTTCTTTCTTTTCTTTATTTTTTTTTTGTGATATGTACATGCATCCGAGTGCAATTTGTAGATTTTATGTTTGTTTTTATATTTGAATGTTTATTTTCATGTTTTTTATAATATTTTTATTTATTGTTAATTGCATCAGAATTTTTATTTTTTATTTGTGGAGGCAAACTTGTCATGTGTCTATTATTGACCAGTACATTATTTTGTTGTAGTAACTTCCTGGAAATGCCTCCATTTCATCAGATTGCGGCAAACTTTCTCTCCGTTATGTATGTATATATATATATAATAAATGTTATATTTTTTTAAATGTATTAATATATAAGATTTTGTAATTGCATGTTTTATATTAAGAAAAAAATGTTATTTATAAATGTATTTTTTGTAACTACTTAATTAACTATAAGCATATTATATTAATATTTACAAGTATATTGTCCTAATATTTAAGTATTATATATTATTATTAAGTATTATATATTATTATTAAGTATTAGTTATTATTAAGTATTATATAAAGTTCACACGTTTTATATATTTTATGTACGATGTTTTTGTTGGAATACTAGTAAGGTTTTCTGCAGTTTTCCTTACTCTCGCAACGAATGTTGGTATTCACGTAATAAATCAGCTGCAGACGTAAAACATATACATTTCTCTATTATTATTTGTATTAACAATTTATTCTATTTGTTCAAAGGAACTTTCTTCTATTTGTAACTCCCTTCATATTTCCTACCTTGCTAGGGGCCTAAAGATACATCAGATCCTATCAAGATATATACATTACTGAGCAGCCATAGCGGTTGCTTAGTGCGCATGCGTCACTTTATTCCCACACGGAACATCACTGGCAACGGGGTGTTTGCAACTTATTGTAGAACGGTCTTTAGTTGCAAAGTGCTATTTCCGGTTGCAATACATAAGGCCTGTTCTTTTAAGGCCCGTCTACAATACACGGAGTAAGAAGTAAGAGTAAGAAATTGACCAATCACAGTCGAATGTGAGAAGAATAAATGACTGTGATTAGTCAATTTCTTACTCTTACTTCTTACTCCGTGTATTGTAGACGGGCCTTTACACAGCACGCTTTACACCGAAGTTATAACATCGATGTTACGAAACTGACCAATCACAGTCATTCCATTCTTCAGAGGAACAGCTATGATTGGCCAATTTCATAACATCGATGTTATAACTTCAGCGTTGGTCCGGATCTACAACAGAGTTTTAAGCCTTAAGCCATAAGAAATGGGCGAATCACAGTCTCTTATTCTTCTCGGATTCGACTGTAATTGGTCAGTTTCTTACGGCATAAGGCATAAAATACCTATTGTAGATCCGGACTAAAGCGGAGAGCACAGACTCTTGCATAACGCATAACACACCGCTTTAGTCCGGATCTACAATAGGTATTTTATGCCTTATGCCGTAAGAAACTGACCAATTACAGTCGAATCCGAGAAGAATAAGAGACTGTGATTCGCCCATTTCTTATGGCTTAAGGCTTAAAACCCTATTGTAGATCCGGGGTAAAGCGTGCCGTGTAAACGTAGAATGTTGGTTTATATAGCGCATCTATCGAGACAGGTTTGTTGTCATATTTGTTGTTTAATTACAATTGATTTTTGGTAATCGACGATTCGTTTTTTCTCTTCCTTTTTTTTTAATTTGAAAACGCAACAGTATCTCGATTATAATGGTTATATAATTACTTCAAATTTCTCTGGTTAGACCTTACATCAGTTGTATACCGTGTTTCACCTTTTGCTAACACCTAAACATTGTTCAAATCCAACTTGTAAATGCAATAAAGTTATGATTGTTATATATTTATTTTAAGTACAAAATAATCAACACGAAACAATACAGTTTTAGGCAGCAACTATCAAAAATGTTATCTGCAATCGTCAAAGAACATCAGAGCAAGCAAGCTGTTAGAAAAGAAAGGCAAGGTAAGATATGTATATTATTTAATTCTGTGCCAAAGGTTTTTATGATTTCTAACTATAATCTCTTTAAAACGTGTGAAATGATTTAATAACAGAGCAAAAGCGGAAAGATGCCGTTCAGGCTGCAAGCAATCTGACACAAGCCCTTGTTGATCACTTGAATGTTGGGTAAATAAAATTTTTGTTTATGATTTGATCTAATTCATAGATAGGCATGTATAAATGGTGGAATATGTACCTGTGTTTCATATATCTTAAGCCTGTGGCACTTGATGCCTATTTTTCTGCTGAATTCCTAGCTGGATTAGAATCTTACCATTGTACTGACTGTGATACTCAGTGTCAGCATCGTAGTCAATATAGTGGTAAGAATTTATTCTAGCTAGCAATCCAGAGCAAGAAAACAAGCATCGTGTGCTGCTGACTTTAATGATAAAAACAAGCTTTATCATTTGCACATACATAATATTTAATTTTAAAAACATATGTACATTATACACATATATGTATATACGATTAATGTTTTGCTGTTATTGTTACAGTGTAGCTCAAGCATATTTAAATCAAAAGAAGCTAGATGCTGAAGCAAAGCAACTACAACACAGTGCAACCAATTTTGCTAAACAAACGCAATTATGGTTGAATTTGGTAGAATCTTTCTCAAGCTCTTTAAAAGAAATTGGAGATGCAGAAAATTGGGCACGCAGTATAGAAGGAGATATGAGAACTATAGCCACAGCTTTGGAATATTCATACAAAGGTATAAAGCTAATGAAATGTTATGTATAACTATATCTTTGTATGAAATAACTATATCTTTGTACAAAATGTATGCAATATATTACGTATTATTTTTTAGCCACGCAAGAGAATCAAAGTGTTGGTAATGTTTAAAGATATGTAATATATAGGACATTATTTTTCTAAGTATTAATATAATATGGTTAGCGTCAGGAGTAATATGAAGATTTTTTAAAATAATTTCATGATGTGAGTGATATTTCATTTTGTTAAGATATAGAATTAATGCAATTTAAGTTGCCAAAGAAAATACTTTTGTATATAGTTTTTTTTTGTATGAGAGCTAAATTGTATGGACATTAATTAAGCTTATTCTACAATGTGCTCTTTATTTCCTGTTTCTTGCTTTTTACCTCTTGCTTTTTTCCCCCTTTGCAACCGTTTTATCGACAATTTTCTTTCTACGTGTTTCCAGTTTCTTTCGAAGTTCGTTAACTTTTATCTCGGCGACATAACAAAAAACCGGATAAGAAGCAAAAAGACAAAATGTAAAACATAGCAAAAAGCAGAAAATAGAAAACAAAAAGTACATTGTAGAATAGGATTTAATGCATTTTGTTTTAATTAAAAAAAATTATTGAATTGTTGATAAGAGATATACATATCCGAGGTAATATTTTTCGCAATAAGAATTAATTATTTACAGATTTTAATACGTTATTCATCGTTATTAAGATCGTTTCAAAGATGCGAATAAGCATCAAAAATTTGTTAAATTGCTAGTCAATTTAACTCGTGATATTACTGCGGTAGTTTAGTAGAGTTAGCGTTTCAAGACCGAAAATTTTTCGACGTGCGTTTCTGTGGGACTACATACATAGTATATAAATTTACATAAGAATCATAGCATTAAGATCCAGCTAGACCGTTTAAGGCTTTGATTTCTACAGTTTGTGTTACACATTTTATTTAGTTCAGAATATTTCTGTGTTTTGTTAATTTTACAATCTCGTATATTATATAATAAATAACTACTGTTATAACATCATATTTGTACTAATATAATTTTTATAATTTTTTGTTTAATATGAATAGAAATAAAGAAGATCTAGAAAAGCACATTATTTTAAAGTAAATTAGGAAAAATATATTCAATAATTTTTATGTAATTTATGGGTTTTTTTTTCATTAATGTAGAATTATGTTTATTTGATATCAAGATATTCCCTTATGTGCCAAACATACTTTTTTAATCTATTTTCCAGTGTAATGGTAGTAACTACTTAATAAGTTAAAAGTTAAATAAAAGTTATAAATAACTTTTAACATCATGTAGTTACTTTCATGCTTATTAACTTTATTTATGTAGTTATTTTTATACTTATTAACTTTTTTTAAGTTAAAGTTTTTTTTATCTTACTAAATACCAATATATATACTGTTTTCTATAAAATCTTAAACGTTAGAGAATTAGAGAATTTAGAAAAATAAATGATTGTGTGAGGGACGTGGCGCTTGTAGTGCTCAAAGATGAATGTAATTGGATTTGCATTTAGGGAATGCTCTCAACGAATGCGTTAAAGTCGACAAAGCGGCTAGTATGCTTGCCAAGCAAATGAATATAATTAGTTGTTATTTATAGATCCAACCAATCGCATCCATTCAATCGCTTGGCGAGCATGCTAGCAGTTTTGTCTGGCTTAAAAGCGCCCATTGTTATTGTGTTATGCTATCTTTGTTTTACTAATGAGAGATAAAGGAAGAATAAACTATTTACATATAATTTTCAAAGAATTAGCAGGCATGGTCAGTATAGAGAGGAATACAAGATTTTACTTACATTTTAAAAAATTACATTTCCTTTTTCTTTTATAATAACAAAATATGAAAATACCTATGTAAAAATATTAAAAATCAGTTTTTTATTGTACAATAAATATCTTTATTATTTCATATAATTTACAAATAAAATATTAAAGAATGCATCCAAAGGATGTGGGGCCTGTTCCCCCAATCCAGTTAGGGAGGATTGAAATAGCACCAAATGAAATATCTATGAATTTAAAACAGGTACACAAGTAAATAGGACAACGCAATTTGCATGACAGTATAAACGCTTGTTAAGCAACCCAGCCTGTTTTTGGTGAGGTCTTTTTTCGATCCTTCAACAATCTCAAGTAATCTATCCAAACTGTTTAACGAGATGTAACGCATGTAATGCAGGTATAGACTTAAAATCGACCTAAACATGTAGAGTATAAATTATATCCTGATAGATGGGACAAGCAATTGTATGTAATATATTGTAAAACAAGTTATAAGCACAACTTGCAACAATTTAATTTGCAATATGTTAATCTGCAATAATGTTACTATAAACGCATTCACAGAAAACACAAGACTAAATTACGTGGCCTTCCAAAAGTATCATAAATCTATATCTATATTATGATGTGAATGTTTAGTTGAAGGCCTACTTTAGGTCACGGTACAGAGCAGATCGCACGGTGTAAACGTGGCCAATGTGTGTAGTAGGAGCAAGTAGGAGTATCAGACATTCCGTGGAGGCGGAGGCCGCGCGCGTCGATCGCGAACGGTCGGTCAGTCTGCTATTGACACATCGTCCCAATATGGCGGTAAGGTGGAAAACGACGTTCTCGCGCAGCGTGCGTCGTGATCTCATTCCTGTGCAGTGAGAATTTTCCCAGGTAATTATCTCATTATTCACGTATGTTACAAACGGATGGTGGAGTCGCCCTGGCAGAACCTTTTACGTCTCTCTTCAGACCCTGTCCTGTCATTTCCGTTTTGCTTGGTCTGGCCTGACGCGTGCGTTTAGAAAAACAATATGTGACACGTTAAATTATTAATAAGATGACTGCGGAATGAACAAAAGGATCAATTATTCAATCAAGTTTCTTTACGTGTTGTTTAAAGGGATCATTATAACTTCAGTTCAAAACCAACAACCTAGACACCATAAATTGACAGTTTTCTAATTTATTTTGTAAAATTCTATAGATTTCATGAATGTAAATATATAAATCAGTTTTATGATAAATTGACTACCATGTCTCCAGATTATACATGCATTTATATCTTGTATTGCACTCGAATTAAAGTTGTGGTTATTATCAAATTATCTAAATTGATTTTGTTTGTTTACTCTGTTTATTTAAGAGAGAGAAAGATTAATCTATTTTTTTTCCTTTAAATTGTATATAGATTAAAAGCATATATAGAAGAATAAGAGATATATAGAAGTAATTAAATGATAAATTTATCATTTGATAAATTTATTTTTATCTTAGAAAAGAAATTCAACGTAAATGGACATTCTCAGGTTTAGGATACTGAACCTGATGAGAAATTTTTTCGAAAAGTTTCTAGAAAAATAATTGGTTTATTTTGTAACTATCATATATTTCTTTTTGTTACATTTATTAAATTAGCATTATTTGAATTAATCAACACTGATTTGCTCCATTAGTTATCTATGTTATGTTGACTTTCATTATATGCTTGTGAAGATTTTATAACATATTTTTATTTTTAGGTTTAATTTGAAATCTGTCACTGGTAGCTATAACCATGGTATGAGCCTTACATCAGATGAAGTAGTGTTAGACAATAATTAACATTCTTAATCGCTGTACCTTTACTTGGATCTCTTTGAAAGATGCCAAGTTTACGGAAGAAAGTTGCTGGTTTCATGCGCCAATTGTCTATCAGCAACTTGGCTGGGGCTGTGGAAAGTATAGGCCTTGGGGAACAGACACTTCGAAGCCCGCAGTCATTAACTCAGGATTTTCCTGGTGGCTGTTTCATCACGCGCTACCTCAATGGGTAAAAACAAGTCACATCTGAATATTTTCACTTTTTTTTACTTATCTATAATAATATGTTATTCTAATTAATATGTCTACATTAATCTTCTTAGACTAGAAACAAAACAAGAAGGACCACCAATTTTACATGGCCGAAATCCAGAAGAGTTGCCAAGCAAACAAATTGACGTTTTTCAAGAAAATGAGGAAATATTTGCAGCCTACACTGGTCCTGATAGTGGTCTTACAGCAGTCAATCTTCAACAGAAACATTTAAGTATTAGTGATACTGACATTGATTACATTGATATGTTAGATCAAAATGAGCAATATAGAAGTGGTAAGTCTAAAGCAAAGATATTACTGAAATAGATTTTCATTTGTTGCAAAATAAAAATACAAAAATTCTCTTAGGATCAACAACATCAAATATAACAATTGCTGGAGTTACCGATTGGTTTAATCCTCACGAAAATGCATATGGAATTGCGACTACTTTGTATGAGAAAAATCCTACAAACGACACCAGCAATGGAGAACCAATAGCCGATTGTTTTGGCGTTGTAGCAAGACCAAACTCTGCCATACTCGCTCTTGCAGATGGAGTCAATTGGGGTAAAAACACAGATTTAAAACATATATGTACAAACTAAAAAGCAGAGATAAAAGTTGGAGCACAATAAAAGTTTTGTTTGACAGATGTATTTATAACTTTTTCACATATATTCAATGAATACTCTTAAATTTTAAGTATTGAAATTTATTTAACATCTGATAGAAAATAACTGACAGAAAAATATAATTTTTTTTTATGCTTTATTTATGTTTAGTCAGATTTGGTTTTTTCCTCTATAAGGTCCGTTTTCACAATATATGGTTACCTAAAGATTAAAGGTTACCAACAGATTAATCAATGAAATTCATTCATGAACTTCTTGGTTACCTTTAAACTTTAGGTAACCATATATTATGAAATCAGGCCTAATATCCTTCTTTTATTTTAATTTATAACGTTGCAAACGATACTTATAATTCGGAGTTTCAGGTACAAAAGCGAGTATAGCGGCCAGATCTGCAGTTCATGGAAGTATAGAATATTTGAACCAAACTCTATTTTGTCCGTCTATTAATAGTGAAATGACAACGACAAAGGATGTATTTATAGCGTTACTTCGATCATTCCATGCAGCACATTCAATGATTCTTCAAGAGCAAGGAATGCTTACTACCTTAACTGTATGCACCATCCTTCCACTGCCAAGTCCAAGTACTGATACAAATATATGCCAGAGAAAATATATTGCCTGTACCTGCAACGTTGGTGATAGTTTAGCTTATGTATATTCAGGGTATGCATTGTTATATATTTACAAATTACAGTAG